CCTTTTAAATCTTTCCCCTCTCACCTTAAACCCAAGCCCCTTTAATTTTGGACTCCCCTACCCTGGGGAAAAGACCTTCCCTATTCACCCTATCCATGCCCCTCATGAGTTTATAAACCTCTATAAGGTCAACCCCCAGCCTCTGACGCTCCAGAGAAATAAAACCTCAGTCTATTCATCCTCACCCTATAGCTCAAACTCTCCAAACCTGACAACATCGTTATAAATCTTCTCTGAACCCTTTCAAGTTTCACACCATCCTTCTTAAAGCAGGGAGACGAGGCTTGAACGTAGTATTCCAAAATTGGCCTAACCAATGTCCTGTACAGCCAAAACATGACCCTCCCAACTCCTATACTTAATGTACTGACCAATAAAGGCAAGAATACCAAACACCTTCTTCATCGCCCTGTCTACCTGCGACTCCACTTTCAAGGAACTATGTACCTGCACTCCAAGGCCTCTTTGTTCAGCAGCATTCCCCCAGGACCTTACCATGGAGTGTGTAAGTCCTGCCCTGATTTGCCTTTCCCAAAATGCAGCACCTTGTATTGATTTAAATTAAACTGCATCTGCCACTCTTCTGCCCATATGGGCAGACTGTTGCTAATAATTCGTAATACTCGATTTTTGTCGTGTACAAACTGCAGTGGAACTGGGGGCATCAGGGAAATGGACAGTAGGGAAGAGGCTTCAAAAGCTCAACATATTGAGCCAACATGTAGCCACAGTATTACTGGGAGCAGATTATAATGTAGGCACGCATTATAAGTCGAATTTTCAATGTTAAATCTCAAAACAGAAGTGTGCCAAAAGGAAATGAATTTTACAACACAGTGAAAATTGTACATCTCCTGTGGCCTTAGCTCCAAGAAAGGATAATATTTTTAATTCATTCGTAGGAGCTGGGCATTGCTGGCTAGGCTAGCATTTATTGCCCATCTCTAATTACCCAAAGATTGAGAGTCAACAACATTGCTGCGTGAGTTTGGAGTCGATGTTTAGACCAGACTCTTAGGGATAGCAGTTTTGTTCCCTAAAGGACATTACTGAACAATAATCAACAATGGTTTCATGGTTTTTATATTGAATTCAAATTCCACCATCTGCCATGGTGGGATTCGAATCTGGGTCCCCAGAACGTTACCCAAGTCTCTGGTTTTAATAGTCTAGTGATAATAACTATTTGGTCATGACCACCCCAGAGAAAGTTTGCTCACCAGCTTTATATTCTGTCTTTATTTCTGTATAGCGCCCTGACATAGCTGACTCAACAACAGCACCATGAAAAGTGGTTGGTTTGGAGCATCGAACTAAAGGCCACACTGGGTAGGAAAGCTGAGGGAGCCAAAACAGGAGTTTGCCACTGCTCCACGAATGTAAATAACAGATTATAAAGGCAGCTTCAGCTGTAAAGAACGGCAAGCATTTTGAGTGGAGGCACTTGACAAGAAAAGGTTAGAATGTGAGATTAAGATTTTGTGAAGGTGGGCATGCACACATGTTTTAAACCACACAAAGAAAGGGAGCCCAGATTTTTACCGGGGACTATCCTGCTTCCTCAATCAGCTGAGGTAACCACCACTGAGTTATTATTGTCACGTGTACCCAGGTACGGTGAAAAGTTTTGTTTTGCGTGCAGTACAGGCAGGTCATACTTTACAAAGATCACAGGGTGATTGAACACAGCGAGGAATACAAAGTTACAGCTGCAAATGACTGCACAGTGGCTCAGTGGTTAGCATCGCTGCCTCACAGTGCCAGGGACCCGGGTTCAATTCCAACCTCAGGCAACTGTGTGGAGTTTGCACATTCTCCCCCTGTGTCTGTGTGGGTTTCCTCCAGGTGCTCTGGTTTCCTCCCACAGTCCAGGGATGTGCAGGTTAGGTTGGATTGGCCGTGCTAAATTGTCCCGTAGTGCCCAGGGATTTGCAGGTTAGCGTGGGTTGGCCGTGGGGAATGCAGGGTTACGGGTTAGGGTTAGGGGGTTGATTCTGGGCGGATGCTGTCAGTGGGTCGGTGTGGATGTGTTGGGCTGAGTGACCTGTTTCCACACTGTAGGGATTCTATGAGAAAAAAGGCGCACAAAAAGTGAGGCAACATTAGAAAATTTGAGAGGTCCATCCAGAAGTCTGTTAACAGCGGGGAAGAAGCTGTTCTTGAACCTGTTGGTGCATTTGTTTAGGCTTTTGTATTTTCTGCCTGATGGAAGAGATAATGCCTGGGGCAGGAGGGGTCTTTGATGTTGGCTGCCTTGCTGAGGCAGCAAGAAATATAGATGGAGTCAGTGGATGGAAGGTTGGCTTGCGTAATGGACTGGGCTGTGTTCACGACCCTCTAATTTCTTACGGTCCTGGGCAGAGCAGTTGCTGTACCAAGCCATGATGCATCCAGATTGAATGCTTTCTCTGGTGCTTCTATAAAAGTTGGTGGAAGTCCTTACGGATATGCCAAATTTCCTTAGCTTTCTGAGGAAGAAGAAGTGTTATTGTACCTTCTTGGTGTCACATCATCGTGGGTGGTCTAGGATAGATTGTTGGTGGTGGGGGGGAGAGTTTGAAGGTGTTGGCACTGCCAGTTCCAGAGATGGGTTGGCAGCTTCTGTAATGTTCATGATGCTGCTCGCTCATCAGGAATTGATTATCTCTGGGTTAGTTTATTTAAGACAATGAAAGACAGTCTAAGATTACAGTCACTGTGTGTGTGTGTGTGTGTGTGTGTGTGTGTGTGTGTGTGTGTGACTTCCAACTCTGCCTCCTCTAGGTTTACAACATAGTATGGCACAAGGAGTTTTAAAGGTGATGTTTCTTAATGGTAACATTACCATTACTGCGCAAAGATAGTGAGCCAAGCAAAATCAGCCTCCACATTCCTGTTTTTAAATGTGGTAGAACTAAAATCTTTAAAGACCCTCAAAATTGAGCTGTAACCAGACTTTGTGAATAATCAACACCAGTGTAAACAGCTACTAGCTTAAACAAAGAATGAACAATTTATTATTAATACTCCAGCTGAGCAAAGCTAAACAACAAGGTAATCAAATTAATGTCTGTGATTTAAGCCCAGTTCTCTGATTCTAGCCCCCAGTGCTCTCAAAGACAGACAAACACAATTAGGGGGTAAATCAAAAGAAAAGTAAATGAGATGTAGATGGCCAGCTCACTTAAGCTGTTTCCACAATGCGTAGAATGACAGGCACATGGAATTGTATCCTATTAATTTCTGAAGAAGGGTCCAGACCCAAAACGTCAGCTTTCCTGCTCCTCTGATGCTGCCTGGCCTGCAGTGTTCATCCAGCTCCACATTTGTTATCCCTGGAATTGTATCCTGCTTGGTTTCTGGAGACACCAGTCAATGCAAACAGCTTCCAATAAGCTCTGAGGAATGTTCACTTTGTTCACTTAATCTCAGAGCTGAGATTCTATTCTCTGAACTTTAAGTAAGTTGATGATGGGAGGATAACCAGGAAGCATTCTAACCTCCATCCTCTGGCTTCGCCAGCCACAATCTTGACTATGAAACAGTTCAAAACCTGTGCAAACTTTGGTTTCTCTTTTTGTCTTTTTTTAAATATTCTCTTGGCACAAACTTCCCTGTGAGGGGCTCCTATTAACATTCAAAACTCTGCCACCTGTTTGTGTATATTGCATCTCCAGAGTTAAAGTATCTGTAGAGCACTTTGAATAAGAATCAGGGCTGGAGGGTTTGAGTTACCAGGAGAGGCTGAATAAGGCCGGGACCTTTATTCCCTGGAGCGTAGAAAGTTGAGGGGTGACCTTTATAGAGGTTTATAAAATCAGGAGGGATATAGATAGGGTGAATAGCCAACATCTTTTCCCTAGAGTAGAGGAGTTCAAAACTAGAGGACTTAATCTTAAGGTGAGAGGGGAAAGATTTAAAAGCGACTAGAGGGGTAATATTTTACACGGAGGATGATGCATGTCTGGAACAAGCTGCCAGAGGACATGGTGGAGGCTGGTACAACATTTAAAGAACACTTGTACAATACATGAACAAAAGGTTTAGAGGGATTTGGGCCACATGCAGACAAGTGGGACTAGTTTAATTTGGGAAACTTGGTCAGCATGGACAAGTTGGACCCAAGGGACTATTTCTGTGCTGTATGCTTCTGTAGCTACTGAATATCAGTTTGTCTATCGTAAGACAATTTGCTGCTCACAGCTCCAAAACAAAATGATAAAAAGTAAAAATCAGCGAGAGGGTTCCAACGCTAAATACAATTCAGCCAGTGTCCGAGATGGACCTGGGGTTAGAGAGAAGGATCTCGGCTGCGGTATCAGACCTCCTGGTCGCCTCCAGTAACTCTGCTGGGGAATTTATTCACTCATTCATTCATTCACAAGATGAGGGCGTTGCTGGCTACAGCAGCATTTATTGCCCCATCCCTAATTGCCCCAGAGGGCATTTAAGCCTCAACCAGATTGCTGTGGGTCTGGAGTCACAGGTAGGCCAGACCAGGTAAGGATGGCAGTTTCCTTCCCTAAAGGGCATCAGTGACCCAGATGGATTTTTCCAACAAATGGCAATGAATTCATGGTCATTGTTAGATTCTTAATTCCAGATTTTTAAAAAAATATTGAATTCAAATATTGCGATGGTGGGATTCAAGCCTTAGCCTCCAGAACATTACCTGGGTCTCTGGATTAACAGTCTCGCAATCATACCACTAGGCCATCACCTCCCCAAAGCTGAAGGCTTGGGCAAACCAGCCATTAACCTATGTAATAGGACGTTGCAATATCTACATCATCTTGCCACTGCTATTGAAACAGAAGGCACCATCAGCTGAGGACCTCTCACTGTCTGTATCTCCTTCGGCCACAACCTGGCTAAGTGGTGGAATGCATTCCGCCAAAGGACAGAGGCAACAGTTTTAACAGCAGCAGTTGCAGACGCCATGAGGTTAGTAATATATAAAGGAACCATTGCAGTGTCAGGGAGTCACGCTGACTGACAGACTCGAGTGTTCAGGGTATCAGATGACTGTCTTGATTCAGATTTGGCATCAAGGACCAGTGGGTGTCACCACCTTCAGTGAAATAGCAGGGGGACTGCATAGGTACTTTGCATCAGTTTTCACACCAGAACTTCGAGAGAGTCGGGGCGAGCAGGAGGTGAGTATAGTAGCCATCACTAAGGAGAAGGTGCTGGGAGAAGCTGAAAGGTCTGAAGGTAGATAAATCACCCAGACGCGATGGATTAAACCCCAGGGTTCTGAAGGAGATTGTGAAGGTGTTGGTGGTGATCTTTCAGGATTAATTGGAGTCAGGGAGGATCCCAGAGGACTGGAAAACGGAGAATGTAACACTCCTGTTTAAGAAGGAGGGGAGGCAGGACACAGGAGTGATGGGCCGGTCAGCCTGACCTCGGTCTTTGGTAAGATTTTAGAGTCCGTTGTTAGGGATGAGCATGTGGAGCACTTGGAAGTGCACAGTAAAATAGGGCAGAGTCAGCACAGCTTCATTTAGGGAAGTCATGCCTGACAAATCTGTTAGAATTCTGTGAGGAGGTAACGAGCAAGTTAGACAAGGGAGAGCCAGTGGATGTGATCTATTTGGATTTCCAGGAGAGCCTTTGACAAGGTGCAGCACAGGAGGCTGCTGGATAAGAGCCCATGGTGTTAGGGGCAAGGTACTGGCATGGGTAGAGGATTGGCTGGCTGGCAGAAGGCAGGGAGTATGGATAAAGGGCTCTTTTTCAGGAAGGTAGTCAGCGACTAGTGGAGTTCTGTATTGGGACCACAATTATTCGCTTGCACGTTGACAATCTGGATGAAGGAACTGGAGGCATTGTCGCTAAGTTTGCAGATGACACAAAGATAGATGGAGGGACAGGTAATGTTGAGGAAGCGGGGAAGCTGCAGAAAGACTTGGACAGGCTGGGAGGGTGGGCAGAGAAGTGGAAGGTGGAATACAATGTGGGAAAATGTGAGGTCATGCACTTTGGATAGGAAGAATAGAAATGTAGACTATTTTCTAAACAGGGAAAGGCTTCAGAAATCTGACGGAGAAAGGGATTTCGGGATTCTCGTTCAGAATTCTCTGAAGGTTAACGTGCTGGTTCCGATGGGAGACAGGAAGGCAAGTAAGGCTGTGGTCAGACTGGATTTGGAACATTGTGAATAGTTTAGGGCCCTGTATCTAAGGAAGGATCCATTGACATTGGAAGGGGTCCAGAGGGGGTTTACAAGAATGATCCTGGCAATGAAGGGCTTGTCACATGAGGAGCGGTTGAGGACTCTGGGTCTGTACTCGATGGAGTTTAGAAGGATGAGGAGGGACCTGATTGAACTCAGAGGCCTGGATAGAGTGGACGCAGAGTAGATGTTTCCGCAAGTAGGACAGACTAGGACCCAAGGACACTGCCTCAGGGTGAAAGGACAACCCTTTAGAACTGAAATGAGGAAGAATTTCTTCAGCCAGAGGGTGGTGAATCTGTGGAACTCACTGTCGCAGAAGGCTGTGGAGGGCAAGTCATTGAGTGTCTTTAAGACAGAGGTAGAGAGGTTCTTGATGAATATGGAAGTCAAGGGTTAGGGGGAGAAGGCAGGAGAATGGTGTTGAGAAACACATCAGCTATGATTGAATGGTGGAGCAGATTTGATGGGCCAAATGGCCTAATTCTGCTCCTATGTCTTGTGGACTTCAGAAGATGTGGTCATTGATGGCTGGACCAGCATTTACCGCTCACCCCTTAATTATCCTGGAGGAGATGATAGTGAATAGTGACCTGGCTTCTTGACTTTCAGCAGACCCATGTGGTATCACAGAGGGAGGCAGCTCCAAGATTTTGACCAAGTGGCAGCGAAGGAACAGCAATTATATTTCCAGGTCAGGATGGTGAGTGGCACAGAGGGAACTTGCAGGATCTGCTGCCCTTGTCCTTTGAGATGGTGGAGCTTGCTCACAGGTTTAGAAGGTGCTGTCAGAATAGTGCCTTAATAGTGTGGACAGCGTATACCTGGGAAATTTACCCCTTTGCCAGGTGGATGGCATTGTTGTAGCTGTACTGGAACAGTTTGGCTCGGTACATGGTTAACACAAGTCTTCAGTACTACTGTCCCTTGGCACTCAATGGCATTACCCTGAACTCCCCCCTCCTTCAACAGCCTAGGGGTTACAATGACCAGAAACTGAATCAGACCAGTAATTATAAATATGGTGGTTACAAGAGCAGGTCAGGGGCTGGGAATCCTGTAACTCACCTCTTGACACCGCGCTCCCCACCCACCACCC